AATTGAGTTTTGATGGCTCGATCCTATTCTCTCACCTATTAGCTGTGTGCGGTTGCAGGTTTTCAGGTGAAAAATGGATTGAATAGCACCCCAAAACCAAAGAGGTTAGTTCATTCAACATTTCTTAAGCACCTCCACATTCTTAGCACTGCAACCATTGTTTTGCAGGTGTTATCTCTAACAGGATTTGACAACAATAATGCTGTGTATATATACATACATATATATGTATATATATATATATATATATATATATATATATATATATAGAGAGAGAGAGAGAGAGAGAGAGAGGGAATTTTCTGACACACTAAATGGAACCAAGATAGCATTAAGTAGCCTTTTTTCCTTCTACTTTCCCAGGGACCATTTATATTAAAATCAAATGGCTGCACAGATCAAGAATATAGAGCATCTCATATTTTATGCATTTGAATTTTGAATTTGAAGCTATGCTCACAGACTAAATTTGTTAATATGTGACAATATCAAGAAAAGTCACAGAAGTGATATACTTTCCATCATTAAAGTCAACAAGAAAAAAACTCTTAGTGTTTTAGACATTAAACGTTTTATATGCATCGGTTTTCTATGTATGTGCCCTCACCTCATTCAAGACTATTTTAATACGGGGAGGAAGGGGGCCAGGACTGGGATGGGAGTAAAAGACAGAGAAGTACTTGAACAACAATTAAAATTTAAAAAAAGACTATTTTAATAATTACAAATAGTAATTCGTTTAAATAATTACAAATAGTAATTTGTATTCTTAAAGCAACCTGTCTCATTTTGTTTAAAGAGCTTTAATGTCCTGCATAATTTTGTAAACAACACTTCACCAACATGGAGAACACACCACTTTCTCTGAATAGCTCAAATGCATTTCATGATAAAAGGCAACTTGGAGCCCCACTAAGTCCCCATCCTTGAACTTGCACTGGCCTTGAATTAACGGCAGATCAGAGCTTAACAGTAACCAAGTAGGAGGTATAGTCTGTACTGAGGATATTTGTTTTTTAAAAAAGGAACACAGGACTGTACATCTCCCAAATGATCCCCAAGTGCGTGGACGAATCCTTGTAATTCTTGAACATCTTCAGTAATCGCTGTGGAATACAGGATGCTGCCATTATCTGAGAGGGTTCTTAATGAAGACTGCAGCCGTGTGGGTAACGCCCGACAGTGCTCGTGGGTTGACTCCTAACATACATACTCCGAAGTCAGCGCTCTGCTGCCCAAGGGCAGAGGCCAGTTCTGCTTCTGCGGGTCAAGTTTCACGGGCACAAGAGCACAACTATTTGTTCAAGGGTCATCTGAGGCTGGTTTTCTGCTGCCACAGCCGAGTGGAGCAGTCCCATGCTGCTTAATGAAGGGGACACCTTATGAGAAAGGCAACGCTAGGCAACTCTGTCACCGTGCAGATGTCTTCGAGTTTACCTACCTAAACCTAGATGGTCCGGCCTGCTACATACCAAGGCTACATGGTGCACAGCCTACTGCCCCCAGGCCACCAGCCTGGGCGGCCTGTTACTGTACAAAACAACACGAAGCTGCATCTGGCACAAGAGAAAATGAGGAATGGTTAAGTAAGGGGGCATGTGTGTGGAGGTTTCTTATCCTATTCTTGCAACTTTTCTGTAAATTTGAAGGTATGACAAAATAAAAAGATTTTTTAAGCTAGTTAAAACAAATGTAAAGGTTAGCAGTTAAAAGGGAAAAAACTCCAGTTCCCTTCTTCCACAAGCGAAGTCAACATGCTATCTCCCATAACAGACCTGAGGCACATGTAAGCCAAGTCGAGCCTGCCCGCAGCCCCAAGCGTTGCCTGAGACTGCAGGCTGCCTCCACTCCCTCCAATGCTGCAGCCTGAATTACCAGCTTCCCAATTCTGCCCTCTGAATTTATCTATCTCACTTTATGGAAAACAAGCTAACCAATAATTAAAGGAATCAAAAGACTTTAAAACAAAAGAAGCTGGGGTTGAGAGAGTAGTAGGAGGGAGAGGGAAGGGCAGGAAACAATATGAATAAAGGAGCCCAGTTAACTAACACACTAGACAAACGTTCGGAACGATCGCAAGTATCAGCAGTCCTATTTGAGCTTTTCTCTGGTAGAACAGGAAGGCAACTGACCCCCAAACACTTGACCTTCACACAGTGTATGTACCTCCCCTTTAGTTTTTACATATCTGTATTCCAGGAAGAAATATGAGTTTATTTTTACAAAATACAAACACTGAGCAAACATCATGCTAACTGACAAAGTGTCCAGAGGGCCACACACATCCACGTTGTTAAATATAGAAACTAACTGTAATGAGAATCATTATCTCCAGTTTCCAAGGATACCAAGGATAAGCACTACTCCTAAATTGCTGTTCCCTCGGCAAAGGGCACAGGGTAATTTATAGTCAGGGTCATCCCAGCCGACAGCAGATTCAGGAGGAGGACCCGGGCAAATCACTCCGATTATTCTATTCTTTTTTACTCAGTCCAGTTCCCAGCCCCCACACCTCTCCTATCTGGCCCCACCCCTGGCCAACGTTTTATAGGAGAACTATGGAAGGTATGATTATAAATAGCAACTTCCAAGAGGAAAAAAATCCACAAGGGTGGGGCAGTCTGAGATGCGATCCCTGCTGGGGGCGGGGGTGGGGGTGGGAAAGGTTGGCATTGGCATCTGCTTTGTTTGTGAAAAGGAGGGGGGGGAGCTGGTTTGGGGTGTCTGCCACCGTCCTTGCCATCTTCCCCAGAGTCTGTAAAGAAACTGAACACTTAATTTCCACTTCCCACCCAACCAAACATGCCCAAGCTTTCAGAGCTCACCTCTCCTAAACCGCCACAGTCTCCAGAACCAAGTTCATTTTCAACTTATTCTACCTTCAAGACTCTGCAATCTGGACCTTTCATAGTTACTCACTGTGTGTTTCTACAGCAGTAAAAATATAAAAGCAACTTTCTGGCAGCCTTGGAAGTACTGCCTCTGAATCATTTATTGCTTTATTCAAAGCCATTTATGGATTGCCTTCGACGTGGTAGCCACTGTACCAGGCTAGGCAGGCAGTAATGAGAAGTCATGTAAGACTTCACTTTTGATCACCAGGTAAGGTTTCAATAATAGGCCATGTCACTTCAGCAGTTTAAAAAGAGGTATTCTCCCTCTCAGTCAGATTTGCACTTACTAAACTAGTCATGAAGATTTCATGGATACTTTAGATTTATCTTAAACATACAGAAAATATACAGGGCGGAGCAAAAGTAGGTTTACAGTTGTTCGCATGGAAGCAGACACACAGATCATGAAAATAATAACATGAGAATCAACTCTGTGTTTCACATACACCTGTAAGCCTACTTTTGCCCATCCCGTATATAAAAAATATCCTTCAAATATAACAGCAATTTTCCAGTTAGCCCCACCCCATCATTTAACTGTTACATGTTGCATCTGAGCCAGGGCCGGGGAAGCTGTAAGGACAGGAAAGCTCTCTCTCCGCGCCTTCCTGTGCTCCCTCCTGATGGATGTGAGACATTGTATCAAACTAAGCTTCTTAGCTTAAGGTGATAATGTAGGAGAATAAGCTGCCTGTTTTGATAACCAATGTCTTCTGTTACTTCTTTTGCAGTTACATTAACTGAAACTGTTCACTGCTTTGATGAGGGAAAGGGACGAAATACTACGAAGGCTTTCAATTGTTATATAACATACACAGTATATTTCAATAAGGCAAGCTATTTTAATAGTAACAGTACCAAAGTCAAACATGTTTCTGAAAACTTCCTTCCTGTACGTTTTAGATTACTAATATATTGAAATGCACTGTCTTCACAATTTCAGTACAACCCAACCCTTTAAAAAAAAAAGACTCACTTTTGTTCTGGAACATTTCTAAATTCAATAAACAAAAGAATAACGTCGACTTTTAAAACTATATGAATTGGGAAGTTAGTCCCAATTCTTTTAAAAGTTATGGCACTCATATTTCTTGTGTGTTACTCTGACCTCTACTACATGACGGGAGATGCCTTCAGACAGTTTCTATGCCTCGAACTTGAAACTCTGAAAAGGCTTATGTTGAGAGGCTTCCACTTAAACAGGCCATCATTTAACCTTCCTCCTTGTCCCGCCTCGTCAGTGCTGGCAAGACAAAAACACGGGCGTTTTCTTAAAAGCATTCACGAGCCACTGGCCCATAACAGACACCAGCTTTCACAAAACCTCTGCCTGCTCACCTGAAGGGACGTAATCGTACTCCCTAACTGTGTACAATCAACTTTATTTACTTACTTATTTTTGAAGTCTTCAGCATTGAAAGTACCTTACCTACCCAACAACTCTGGAGCCTAACACTTGGACTTGAGCCACTTGGCTTTCTGGACAGAAAAACCTCGGCTGTCCACCTCTTTTCCTCTTGTTTGTTTGCTTTTAACATCGAAATTGTTCCTGTGCCTTGGACCAGTTTCTAGCATCCCCCCCGCCCCCTATCTCCTCGCAGGCAGAAAGTGTCCAACTGGCAACCCTCCAATCTTAAAGGCGGCAAAAACGCCCTGCGTGCCGCCACCAATTTTTCAAAAGTGGATGCAGGGCAACCAGAAAGGGGCAGCTGTGACAGCGAGGCCCAGCCACCGCCGCTGTGGAGCGGCTGGGCTCCGGGCCCAGCCTCCCGGGCTCACCCTGCGGAGGCCGCCGACCGCTGCGAACTCCGGTCCCGGCGCCGTCCGGCTGCGGCAGGGGGTGTGGCCGCGCGGCCCGCTGGGGGAGAAGGGGGTGTCGGGGCTGCGGGTTTGTTGCGGTGGAGGGGGCTGCCTCACCCGAGAGTTGCGAGGGGAAGGGGGCGGCCCGGGCTGTCTCCGGCCGCGGGGCCGGCGCGCAGGCGTCCGGACGCCGGGGGTCTCCGGGCGGGGCGCGCGGTGCTGGGCGCCCGGGGTCCGCGCGTCCCGGGACCGTGGCGGACGCGGCGCGGGGTCCGGGCCGAGCGCGCGGCCGCGGGGCGCACTCACCGATGCACAGCTGGATGGCGTAGGCGTAGTAGGACCAGCCGAGCAGCAGGCAGATGAACACCACCGGGATCCAGTACAGCACCCGCCGGCACCGCCGCCTGACGCCGCCCGGGCCCGAGGGCGCCATCTTCCAGCAGCATCCACCTGCCCAGCGCCGCGGCCGCCGCCCGCGGGCCCGGCTCCGGGGCGGGCTGGCGGCGCCCGGCGTCCCCGGCGGGACGGGCCCGGCGGCCGCGGCGGCGGCCGGCTGCGCTGCGGCCACTGCGGCCGCCGTGGCGCTAAGTCCCCATCCCGCAGCCCCGAGCCGGCGCCGCGGACTCCCGGGTCCTCAGCCCGGCGGAGCGCTGGCTGCGCGAGGAGGGCGGGCGGCTGCGGGCGGCGGCGGGAGCCCGCGCCCCGCCCCTCTCCGCGCCGCCTCCCCCGCGCGGCCGCCGCCTCCCCCGCGGCCGGCTCTCGGGGCACTCGGGGCGCCCACCGGGCTCTGCACCTGCGCTGGGACTCGGCTCCGCGGAGGCTGGAGGCGGGCCCGCGGGGCAGGCGGGAGGCGGGCGGGAGGCGGGGCCGCACCTGGGGCCGCGGGGGGCGCAGGAGCAGAGCAGACCCCCGGGGAAAGCGCCGCGGGAAAGTCTCGGGGCGCCAAAGCCGAGGTCCTCGGGTTTGGGAAACTGTCGCTTCCACTTGTGGCTCCGGGAGCCCAGGCGTGGACAGCGAGGGCGGGGCTGCCTCTCCGTCCCCGAAACTGCGGGGCTCGGGCGAGGAGGCAGCTGCGCTCGCGGGCGCTTTGGGTGGGACACTGCGGCGAGGGGGGGCGCGGGCGGTCTTCCGGCCTGGACGAGCCTGGGGACTGAGGAAGAAGCACTTGGTTGAGAATCCAGGCACCGTCAGGGTTAAAAAACACAATTTGCTCTTTGAATGTGAACTCTTCAGCGAAGTTATCTCGTGGGGGTACCAGTGGTCATTCCCAGCGCCCCCTTTCCCGGCCCGAACTTCCGCGGTGCGGACCCCAGCGCGGAGCAGGCGCTCGAGGGCTTGTCGAAAATCCTGGAAGGGATCCTGGAGCCATCCTGGGACTGGACCACAGCCCAGGGTTATCGGTGGGTGGATCGGGAAAAATGCAAATGCTTCTGAGGTTTTCTTTTTTTCTTTCCTTCATGTCATTATGAACGCACCCGATTCATCACGAAACGTCCCAGTAAATGCAGTGTGTCTGAATTATTTACATAATTACTATGTATAATGGGCACAATTTTACTTAGCATTAAGGGATATGTATATATTTACAACACAGCCACCATATTGAATGAAATTACCTCATTCATATGGGAAATGAAAAAATAAAGTAGAGTTTTAAAAATGACTACTGTTTTGCATAAATTTAGTCGAAGAAATCTAAGCTCTTATGTGTTTGCGATTATCTTTTCCGGGACTGGATTAACCAGCAAGCTAATCGCTCCTGAAATAGCTACTGTATTGCACACACATCCCCAATCTATGAGCTTCTGTTTAAAAAGTGCATAGAAAACACCAGTCAAGTTTCTGTGGGACATGAAATAATTGAGAAAGTTTGTGTCCCAGTGAATCGCTTCGTTTTGTTGTAGTACCTTTTACCGGATACCCAATGCCCTTCAGGGTAGATTAGAACCTCGCATGTATCTTATCAAGTTGAATGCTCCCAGTTTTCCTTCTACTTCCAGATCCAGGTTAGTTTTTCACTTACTCCCTTTCATGGTCTGAATCAAGAACAGCAGGTGAGCCAAGCCCTGGACCCCAGCCTGTCTGCAGAGAGCACGGGGACCTCCTCCGTTCCTGCTGTACCAACCTCATCTCGTTTCAGCCAGAACACCTGCCACACACTTTATTAGGTGACTCATTTGATAGTTACTCAATTCCTTTCGAACCTGCTCTCAGGAGAAAAAAAGAAAAGAAAGTGTTCTTAAAGGGAAGCATTGCATCCTTGACTGTAGGGTCAGTTTTATTAATCTCAGATGTGTGATAAATCGTGTTGACTTTGCTATCAGGGTATGGTGCTTGGCAAAAGTTGCCTTCCAAATTTTACAAGGATTGGAAGGGATGAAGCTGAGGGGCTGGGTCGGCTCTTTGACTTACAGCTCTCCCGTTCTTACTAGCGTGGTCTCTGCAAACACGGACAGATCTTCTTTCATTGTCTTCTTAAAGGCCTCCCTCCTTTGGGGGGGTAGGAGATCCCTTTGGAGGCCAGCATCCCATGTCAGTGACTCCACCATTAATTGCACTTTCATAATAGTGGAGGCCAAGATAGTCTTCGTGGGAGAATAATAACATGCCCAGACCACACGTTTTCAGACCCAGGTAAAATAAAAGCAGTCTTACTTAGAAGAGGGAACTTGGTTAGAGAACGTGGTGACAATGTAGCAGTAACATACTCCTCGCCTCTTCGAGATTTCTGGTTTTCAATTAGCCCAGGGTGGAATAGAGTACAGTGCAAAGGCCTAAGGAAGGTAGGGTTCATTGGCTGAAAACGCTGGGAAAATGGCTAAAACGGGAAAAGCTATCGCTGACAAACCTTCTTGCCACTAGGTGGCAGGTGCACACCAGCCAGTCCCACTCTCCTGCCGTGTTTTCAAAGAGATTTCAACAGCATCAGCCATTCGCTTAACCAAGCCAATTATAAATTATGATTTATAACTTTGTGACAAATGCAACATAGTTATAACTAATTATAATTATAATTGTATAATTTTATGTTATAATTCAAGAGCTAATGATTAATAAAACCATATTCAGAAAATTGGAAGGAATTAAGAGAACATTTTTCTAGGTAGCAAATGGCTCTGAGTCTGCTCTCACTTCTTTACAGTTTGTATTAGAGTTAATCTCTTTAGAAATGGAATCGGAACTTTTCATTTAAATGAATGCTTTTGCCTACACTAACTTCTTCCCCTGTGCAGAAGTGGGGAGAAGGAAGCATCTGTAGAACCCGTCACGTGAGCAGATATTCCCCCCGTGCATGACTGGCACAGTTTTTCGGAGGTGGCACAAAAGGCACGCAGGTTCAGTTACGTTATTAGAAGTGGCCGTTGTGGAAGGAGAGGTCGGCGGGGAGCAGAGAGAGGCCAAGGGCAGTGCAGTCCTGCAGTGAGGTGGCAAGAGTCCAGTGTTGTCAAGGCCAGCGCTGTCATCCTGGGCAGGCCGTTCTCGATGCCAGATCTTGGCCAAGTGTCAGATTTATCGGTGTCAGGTCAGGCTTGAGTGTCCAGACTTCCTGTTGGTTTTGCGGGGGTTTATATACTTGCAGAAACATTTTTGTCTTTGTGTGTAAGTCAACTAGCATCGATTGTGTGCAGCAGCCAAGCACATTGCCAGGGATGCGGTTTCAATTTCATTCTGTGTCCCATTTCCTAAAGAATCAGAGTCAGCTCCCAGAGATGGAGGCAGTGGGAGAAATAGGATGCAGGAAATGGTGGCGGGGGAGCCATGTTCTCTAGACCTGCGGAGAGCAGTAAGTAGCTGCTAGCCACATGAGGCTACTCACATTTAATCGAAATTAATGAAAATAAAGTAAAATGGAAAATTCACTTTCCTGCCCTGGCTGGTGTGGCTCAGTGTAGGGGTTGAGTGTCAGCCTATGAACCAAAGGGTCACCATTTAATTCCAGGTCAGGGCACATGCCTGGGTTGTGGGACAGGTCCCCAGCAGGGGGCGCTCAAGAGGCAACCATGCATTGGTGTTTGTCTCCCTCTCTTTCTCCCTCTCTTCCCCTCTAAAAATAAACAAATGAAATCTTTTTAAAAATCCCATTTCCTTAGTTGCCATAGCCACATTTCAAGTGCTCATAGACACACGTAGCTGGCAGTAGCCATGTAGGAACATGCCATCACCACAGCAAGTTCCAGCGGACAGGACTGACTGGGCACTTTATCTTGTCCAAATGAGGCAAGAAATTCACGAGGCTTTATACTTATAAATGGCAGAAACCAAAAAGTCTCCTCTCTTAATTGTGTCTCTCCTGTTTTGCAGAGACAGAAAATGAGAGGCGACAGGAAGATGAAGACACGTTTAGGTTTATAGTGTTAGGCGCTTTCTCCCTTTGAAGACACAAGTCGAAAGAGGAGCCAGTTGGGTGAAAGCAGGAGCATAGAGGGAACATCATCGATTCTTCAACCTGAAGGTTGTGCACAAACGATCGCTTTCAAAGGCTATACAAGGAGAAGCTTAGCAGACTACTATACTCAAATTGCTACACATAAAGCCAAGACTTAGCTGTAGCTGTTCAGCCAATAGTGCTTGAAGAGAAAGCATTATTCCTGGAAAAGTCTAACCCTGAAACACAGAATAGTCTGTCTTCATCCGGTGGCCACAAGGACCCCTTTTGTTCCATTGGTCAATCGGATAATCACTGGGGGACCCCAACATAATTGGTTATATTCAGCTCTGTTTCTCTCTGAAGCTGTAGGCTACTTAATCATGTCGGATTTTTTGTATGGCACATGAGGGGGGAGGGGTGTGGAATTAACGTGTCTTGCCCAGTGGTCTGTGCACACCCACATTCTGGTTCAAGACACACACTCCTGAAAAAAATTAATGCTTAATATCAGTAAGTATTTCCAAGTGTTCTCAAGACTTCAACTGTAACTGGGAGCTCAAGGTCACATTGCAATTTATATAGTAAAAGGGAAAAGGCCTAACCAAGGTTTTCTCAGTTCTTGAAAAGGAACAGGCAAAATGAAAAATAAATATTTAATGATGACATTTAACAAAAGAGGCATGTTGGCTTCAGATTTGTAATAGAGAAAGATTTTAATCACCAGGGATTCTTCCAACAGCTGGAATTAATTCAGGGTAAATTATATCTTCTACCTCAAGTCTTGGAATCTATAATTATTTTCAAGTGATACTTGGATACTCCAGATTGTGAATTTCTCCTTTTCTTTTTTCTGCTGGTCGACAAAACCTATCTCCATTTACTCATACTCAGTCTCTTTGATAACGGGTCATGCTACCAAATGCTAGGTTGGTGGTTGAATGTCAATAACCTTTAGCTTTGGACCATGAGACAGCAAGAGTTAGTGTTTTTCTAACACTGCACACAGTGGTCGAGGGCTCAGAGACCATGTGTTTAGAGGTGCCACCTTCGAGACAGCCACGGTTAGGAGGAATCACGGCATAGACGCTTTCTTCTGAAACACACAGTGCAGTGTGGGATTGTCTTACCTCCATGTTCACTCAGAATGAGAAAGAGTACATTTAGGTCAAAC